TATATACATAATATTAACTCATTAGCTCATTTTTCTCTTCTGCATACGATGCTTGAAAAAAATCATGCTGCAGATCTCAGAATTAGGGACTCCCCAGTTGCCAGACAGACCAAAGAACTCCCTAGGAGTCTGTCACTCGTCTGGAAGGGTATCCAAACATCATCAATAGACTTCAGGTGTCATTGATACCAAGGACATAGATGACATACTTTGTTTCATAAATATCTGAACATACAAAATAATTATTCTTTTGGGAACAAGTATAGTCACACCTATGTACATACACAGCACCTAGCACATACATGGCAAACATAAAACTCTCCAAGCAATATTTAAAGATAGTATTTGTTTTGTAAAAAAATGCTTATTAAGGTATTATTTGAATATTACATAGCTGCAGGTATTAAGAAACTGACAATCTCTGGATTTTTTGCTTATTTAGCCTTTGCTTTTTTGCTTTATTTAGCCACTTGTCTTAATCAACATACTTGAGAAGAATTTGTTATCTGCTGCAAGAGTACAATTGAAAACATCTATGTTTACTTACTATAGTTATGTAGTCATGTAGTGTACAAACACTAAGGGCACAATCATGTTTAGTGCAATTAAAAATTTGACCCTTTACCAGCCTTTTTGGTTTTCCTCTATTACTTAGAGAACATTCTCCACATAAGAAACAAAAAAAGTCCCTTCTCAAACTTGGTTTTGAAGTGAAAAGTGCAAAGCCTAGGCCTGATGACTAATTGAACAATCACTATCAGATTTTGGGGAAAAAAAATAATAAAGTTGTGATTGACAAACAGACCAAAATAAAATGTTAATTAAAAGGTGCATTTCTACCTCAGAATTTTATCTTGAGCCGAAACTTCTGCTTCTAAATTTACAATCTGTTCTTCTAATTTAGGAATGCTGGCTGAACGCGTACCTAAAGTCGCTTCAAGATAAGAAATCTGAAATACAAACATATTTGGAGTTTAATTAGCACTTGCTTGTATACCTTCAGATAAGATCCACAAGCACCTCTTTATGGAAGGGCTAAGGGCTCTTAACTCCATTAAAGAAGCTGTTGTTTATATAGACAAATCAACCTCCAACTTCCTGCTCATTTAATACTTCCCTGTTTCCTTTACGCCATTCCAGGATGATGCTGTGTCTAACAGAACATTTCTATACTTGTTGATCTTGTCTCTTTTTTCCCCCGCAAGTTCATATTCAGTTGTTTGCCCTCCCCATGACAAAAACCAGATTTTGTTTATCTACTTATTTGCAATTGAAGATAACACTTCTCAAACAAGAAGCATTAACAATAGTTACATTTTATTACTGTTGCACTTAAACCAAATACAAGAATGTAATTGCTGCATGGCATAAAATATATAAAAGCATAGGCTATATAGCAACAATTCATTATCTGCAATCTATCTTCACTATTTTTTCCACATTTTTTGTTTTTTCATCTCTCATTATCTAACTAAATTTTATGATGTGAGGGGTAAGAATTTCCCCCTCCTGTTAATATATCACCTAGCACAAGGTAACTTTTTCTCATTCTATAATTTACTGTCTTAAAAAAAAAAAAATCAATAAATTCAACAGTTTCAGCCAACGAAAAGACAGAATTTATAATTAACACAGTTATTAAATACATTTATTTTCTTTGAGAAATAGATTCCAAAACTATTCTGTCCTAAAATTAACGATAAACAATGCTATATAAAACACACACACACTTAAAAAGAATAAGCCATGACAGAAAAAAAATATATATTCTGCCTGTAATTATGAACTCAAAAATCACAGTCACTAGTGAAGATCTGGAAAATGAATACAGTAAATACACATACTCTTGTTTTTGACTGCATCAATTCAAAGCTGATTGTTTCAACTTTATTTTTTAGGTAGTGGTTCTGAGAAGTCAAAGAGGCATTTTGTTCATGAAGTGCATTCAGCTTCTCCTTAAGATGCTTATTTTCCTGTTCCACAGCTTTATCACAATTTGTAGATACTGAGTATGGCTAGATATTGATAAGAGAAAATAGAGAAACACATATAAAGAATATATATACACCCAAGAACACATTATGTTTAAGAAACAATCAGTGACATAGCTGCAACACTTCATAGTTCAATGCTAAAGCATATCAACTAAAAGACAAAAGCAAACAGTATTTATAAACATAAAAAAGACTATATTACAAACAAAATTTAATAAAGATAAGTAATCAAGAGTAATATTTACTCTGGGTCTTCTTTGAAGATCTCTCTCCTGACAAAATGTTTTACCATCATTTTTCTTACAATTGGAAGAGCCTTGATGGTTGCAATTAGGTTGAACTAGATCCTCCACAGTGAGGTCTGCAGCCTCCTCAAGGGGGTCGGATTGCTCACTTGCACTAGTGCTGGCAGGGAGGTAAAGAATCATTACTGTAGTTCAAGCTACATGAGTCTTCTGTTCTCACTCCCAAAACGTTCATACCTGGAAAGCTCTTCCCCAACAGTCTGCAGATCCCTTTCCGTTCTCCTCAGCTGACTCCGCAGTGACTCCACATTTGCAAGCAGCTCTTCATCATCGTCGCTTTTAGAGTGAGTCCACATTCTCTACTCCTTTAGCACCATACATGAGACTAAAATAACATTTAATATTAAATGATGTGTAAAAGTAACTCAAGGCTATTTGCAAAGACACACTTTGAAGATACTGTAACAAGGACACATTCTTTTTAAGCCAAAGGTGCAAGCTAAAGGCTGCCTTTACTGTTGCTATAGTGCACCTTGCACACCCACAAGTCAGACCAGGGGATCTCCAGGAGCTAGCAAATGGGCGTTATTTAAAAAAAAAAATGAGGGAAATGTACCCACCCAAGGGTTACTGCCGCCTTGCCTGGCTTGACAGCTGCCAGGGCCGGACAGAACAAGGCAGAGCAGGAACCTGCACCGGCCACTGCTGTATCGGGGCACAGCTCCCGTCCCGCCCGCCAGCCCTCGCCGCAGCTCCCCGGCCTAACGCCAGCCCCTGACCCCAGGGGCAGCCGGGCTCACGCGGGAGCGGGACTGAGGGCGGTCACGGGGGATTCTGAGAGCGAGGGGCCGCCCGGCAGCACCCCCACGCCGGGCGAGCCCCGCGGCGGGGCGGAGCGCCCCGAGGCCCTTTGCCGCAGGCCCGAGCCGGACTAGGGCCGCCACCACCCGCCTCAACGCTCCCCCACAGCGCGCCACAGCCTCGGCTGCCCGAGCAGAGCGAACACGGCAGCAGCGACGGGCCGCCTGCAGGCACCGCCGCAACAAGAGCAGCTCCGCACACAGCACAGCCGGCRCCCCCCCTCACCGCGCTTTGAACCGCGCGGCCGTTGGCGCCTCCTCCGCGGTGCCTCGCTGCGCATGCGCATCCCCGCAGGACGGCAGCCACGCCACCCGCCCCCACCGGCCCCTGCGCGCAGCCAATGGCGGCGCGGCGCCGCGGGGCACTGTGGGCAAGGGCGGGGCGGGGGGCCGGCTCCCGAGGGCGCCGGGAGCGGCATGGAGCGGGAGCGGGGCCGGGACACGGAGCGGGAACGAGGCACGGGGCCGGGCCGGGACACGGAGCTGAGCCCGGGCACGGAGCGGGAGCGGGGCACGGGGCCGGGCCGCGGCGCGCTCCCGCTCCTCCTCTGCCTGGCGCTACTGCTGCTGCCGCCCGCACCCGCCGCCGCCGAGTTCAGCCCCTCCCTCGACAGCGACTTCACGTTCACGCTGCCCGCCGGCCGCCGCGAGTGCTTCTACCAGCCCATGCGCAAGGAGGCCTCGCTGGAGCTCGAGTACCAGGTGCGGGGCGCGCGGGGCCGAGAGCGCGTTCGCTAACGGCACGGACGGCTGGAAATGCAGCAAACCGGGCAGGCCTCCGCAGGAGTAACCTAGCGCAGCGTAGCCGTAACGCTGCTGGCCGCATCCCTCCCTCTCTCTGCCTCTTTTTTTTTTTTTTTTACCTGCTGAGCTCTCGAGTTGCCCTCCTTGGTATCAGTGACCTCGCAGGGCACCACCCCGAGCACAAACACAGCCGCTGCTCCCGCGCGGAACACGCGCTCACCCGCCGTTACGTTAAACAGCCCTGGCCTCCGAGAAGAACCTTTCTCAGCCCTGTCTAGCTAGACTAACATCCAGATCCTGAAGCTCTTCATCTCAGGAGAGCCAGGATCTCCAGGCATCTCTGCTCACCCTTAGCTAAAACCTCTCAGGGCAGGTCAGCCCAGCGTGAGAAGCTGCGGTGGTTTCTGGCCCGGCTGTGGTGCCCCAAGATTTCATCCCGCGCCTGAGGAGTGCAAAGCAGGAAATCTGAGTTGCTAGTCCTGATTATTTCCCAATAGCTGTTAGTTACATGCAAAACTGAGCAGGGCTCAAAGGTGGAGGTGAACAAGCTCTGCTCACCACCCTGTCTGAGCAAAACTAAAACCAAAATGACAATGACAAAAACTGTTTTAGAAAGCTAATACAAAGTAATGAGGCTGTTTCAGACTACTAAAACAACAGATGTCTTAACAGGGAACCAATTCAAGGATGACGTTCTTTGCACTACTGGCAATAGTACTGATTTATCTTTCTAACTGACTATGTGCAAAAGGAACACTGTTCACAAGTTACTGGAAGTGGTTGGGTTGGTTGATTTGGTTGTGATACTTGGTTATCCACAACCGTTAGTGGCCAAAACAGCAGAATACTTCAGCTGGAGGCGCAGGTCATCCAGCAACACACTAAGTGCTGTGCCAACAGAAAGTTTTGATTTAACATACTCAGATGATATCATAGCTTTAAAGGTTTGTCACTATATATGTCTTTAATTTCATCAACTGTTAGCTGCTCGTTTTCTTTTCTGGTAGGTCTCCAGCCTTGCTTTCAGTCCATGCAAACTTTGTCTTTGATTTCATCAGTAAATGACATCTGTATTTAAATAACTTACCGGAAAACAGCAACACACCCCAACATGGGCCAAGTTAATGTCACTGTCAACGTGCCCCCTGCCACAATCGTCACCTCCTTCCTGTTGAGAACTTCTGCAGCACAACCTATGCTGGGATACAACTGTAACCACGTTAGTGCTGCTAAAACAGCACCGCTTTTGTTATGTTGTATACAGTTACTATGAAAGTTGGCTTGAACTCATGGGGCAGATTCACCTTCTAAATTGTTCCTAGGAAAGTTCCCGTAGAAACTCATCTCAGCAATGCGGACAGGAATTCCACTGTTTTTGTTGTTGTTTTACAGGTTTTAGATGGAGCGGGATTAGATGTTGATTTTCATCTAATGTCTCCAAAAGGAGAAACTCTAGTATTTGATCAAAGAAAATCAGATGGAGTTCATACGTAAGTTTTACCTTTTTATAAATACTTAATGCTTTTCTACCTGGATCTTGCAATGAGGTTACGGATATTTTTTGTTTTAATGATATCTGTTAATAGTGAACAAAAGCAATTATTGTGCAGTTTAAAATATTGAAAAGCTTGTTGTCAGTTATGTAAATAAAGGGGAAAGTCCCCTATTTCTTTTTTACCAAGGCATTATAATAGAGTATAAGAACCCTACTCATATATATATATATATATTTAGTCATTCACAATGCTTCAAAAGCCAAATAAAGCAAGCTGCTGCTATTTTCATCATAGTATGACTTTTAAGAGTAGGCAGGGTAGGTTTTACTGTGACTGCAATTTGTGATGTGTATTTAAATTTATTTTCATATAAAAAACTTACTAAGTTATTCCTAAATGCATGCTTATCCCTCTTAAACAGAAAAAAAACCAACTTGTTCATACAAGTCACCCTTTTACAGTTAGGGCTAAAAATGTAGTAAATTTAACAATATTTTGGTTATATATACAGTGTTGAAACAGAAGATGGTGATTACATGTTCTGCTTTGACAACACATTCAGTACTATTTCTGAGAAGGTTATTTTCTTTGAACTGATCCTGGACAACATGGGAGAAGAAGGAGAAAAAGATCAAGAAGAATGGAAGAAGTTTGTTACAGGCACAGAACTCCTGGATATGAAACTGGAAGACATTTTGGTAAGTATTCAATCCTAAATTATCCTGAATGTAAGAATATTTAGAAAAACTCGCTGTCATTCAGCCACTTGGTCTGATACATGAAAAAATGTTTTTAGGTTTGACTTCTGTTCCACCTCTTTTATGTGATATCTGAGGGGAACAACTTAACCTTAGGCCATGTTAATTAAGCCTTGTTACATGACAAAATGAAAATACTGCAGTTAACTATAGGTTTTGTAAGTTATCTGTCTAGGCAAGAAATTAATAGTGCATTAGTACATTATTATTTAGTATAGTACATTATACATATTGCTAGGTGTTACATGAAATGTCCGTTTTTTCCCCTCCTCCTCATCTTAAAAATATTCTTTTGTTACTTACTAGGAATCCATCAACAGTGTCAAAGCTAGACTAAGCAAAAGTGTCCAGATTCAGACCCTGCTCAGAGCATTTGAAGCTCGTGACCGAAACATACAAGAGAGCAACTTTGACAGAGTGAATTTCTGGTCCATGGTCAACTTGGGAGTAATGGTGGTGGTATCAGCTGTTCAGGTTTACATGTTGAAAAGTCTCTTTGAAGATAAGAGGAAAAGTAGAACTTAATATCTGTATGGTCATAAAAATATACAGGTGGGGGGAAAGCAATAAACTGCAAGAGGAAAGAAACAAACAAACAAAAAAAAAACCTTTCAGAACCTTTTGAACAGCACTAGACACACCAGGTTTCCAAGTCATATATGGGGCTTTTTAACTTTAACAGAAGGCTTTGCCCCAAGCTCTTCCATCTTTGCAAGTACTATTAACAAACAGTTGTTTTTTATGCTTGTAGCATTCGTTAATCATTCATAATGACTAGCTTATGCATAGCACACAGGATGTGGGTTCATATGCAAAGTAATGTCAATATTCTCATCTTACGTTTGCATAAACCTTTAAATGGTAACTTAAACTTGGTTTGTTTGATGTTAAACATTGAATTTAAATCTGTGCCTACATGTTTACAAAATTGGGGCTCACAGAGTAGCCCGTGGTTACCATCATTTCTTGTCAAAGTGAAACATTTTTTTTAAAACAAACAATTTGTCATTATGCAGTAGAAATAGTGTTCACGTAGAAACACGGGGCTAATATTGTGAGAACAAAATTAGAACTTTTTCCTTTTATATATAGATGACTGCCAACAGCACTTTAAAGATAAATATTGTCATTGTGAAATTGAGTCAACAGTGAAAAGAATTAGGAAAAAAAGGTGTAATTTATGTTCATAATTCTGTCTTGTTTTATAATCCCCTTTCTCCTTTTTGGCTGTTACATGAAATCCAAAATACAGCTGACTATATGGTGTTCAGATGGATGCAAACACAAATTAAAGCATAGTTTGTCAGCTCTTAAGTTACTTGAATATAATGTAGTAGATACATTTTTCAGGAAGTCATTGCTCATTTTCCCCCTTTTATTTTAGAGTTAATTAGAATTTGTCTACTACACATAAAAGACACCGCAGGAATTAATGTGACCTACATACACATCAAAAAAGCATATCTGTGCATTTATTTTTTTCCTTTTGGCTCACCCTAACAGGTCTCTTAGCTACATAGCTACATAGCTACATTCACAAGAGCAGCGTTTGTAAATCCAGCTGTTTGTATGCGTAAGGAGGCATGAATTAAGGGAGCAATAAGTAAAGGCCTCAAATTTCAAAATCAAATCAACAACTAACATGATTTAAGGCAGTCACCCTCAAATCAGTGACTTAATGTTATGAGAATAGAAAACTTGCCAAAAAATTTAAGTGCAAAAGAGTGAAGTTTGATTTTAAAAAAAGCAAGCCATTTTTTCAATGTGCAAAGCCACTGAAATTCCACACAGAAATGAACTAACTCTATATTTTCAACAAGTATTAAAGACTGAGCATATGAGTGGTCAGCTCATTCTTGGCTCATGTGGGTATTAACAACAGAACTGCAACTGTGAGACTCTTTAGGATAGTTATTTTAGGGGAATGAGGCAGAGTTTATACATGCATGAAGAAACTTCATTCAAATGGAGTAGATGCTATCAAGGGCTACAGTATTTAGGGACTGCAAGCCACCTGAGACAAGAGGACCTAGCAATACATTTCTAGATTTTTTTTCTAAATTAAGATATTATTCTTTACAGAAGTTAGGACAGAGGATTACAAAGACTGTTGAGCTGCTTCTTCCTTCTCCAAAGCTGCCTCCAGAAGACTGTTTCCCTTCAGCGTTCTGTCTATCTTCTTTTCCCACATGATGTTTTCTATTCTCAACTGCTTTTAAGTCGCAAGCTTATTCACTTGCTGAGGACAAAGTCCAGGAAAAGGTAACTTCTCCCACTGTGGCAGATATTTTTCTGCCACTTCCACCACCTTTCCAAGCAGCAGGTTCACTGACGTCAGCTTTCAAGGTATGGATCAGATCCCCCGGGGACAGACAAGTCAAGATTCAAAGGGCTCAAAAAAAGGAATCAAAAGGCTTTGTCCCTTTGGCAAGAAGAAAGGGAGCTATCTTTGCTTGAAGTGCAAAAAGTGTGATGCTACAAAACATCTGCAGAATAGTGTAACAGCTCTGTGAAACTCTTAAACTACCTCTTATATTTAAGTTACTAAATTCTAGCTTTCAGCTCAGACCTCTGTAACAGATGAGTTTTGCCAAGTTTTCCTAGAGCACTTCTGAAAGGACTAATAACAGAGCTCATCCACTCTGTCTTTCTCAGAGGTTATTCATCCAGTGCCAAAACAAGCCCAAATGTGCTTGCACTTCACTTAGTCTAGTTCAGTGTGGGGTAGGAGCTTAAGGTGCCTAGGAGTACAAGCTTCTGATAAGACACCAGACTAGATTCCAGCAGCTTCTTTGATTAGGGACAGCAGTCTCTGGTGTAGAAAAACAATGCAACAAGTATCAGCAGAGTTCAACTTCTTGAAAGTGTTATTTTCTTACTATTTCCATCCAAGTTCAGCTGGTTATACAAAATTTTTAAACAGGAAATAAACTGTAAAGGTTAACTGCTTGAGCACTTGGAAAACATTTATTCTAAGCGAAGGATTTGGCATTTAAACTTGCAATTGAGTAAATTTCAACTGAATTTTGAAGACCAGGTTGATTTTGATTGTATAAAATGTACAAAGGAGAACATCAATCTACAATAGTTTCTATTTCTTAATGGATTTTTTTTATTCAGAGTTGTGTTTTAAGACGTACAGATATTGAATAAGATTATGCAAAACAATATTTTCAATAAATGAAACTTAAACTTGTGTTTGTGCTCTTCATTTTATGGTAAGGAAAAAAAATGCTTTATCTTTGAAAACTACAAAAGATCGAGTATGCTAGACTAACAAGGACTTTACAAGACAGTCATGCCGCTTTTAACTTTTTCCCTCATGCAAATGACCCTATTTACACAGTCATCAAATCAGAACTGGACCGTCCTTCATAATCTCTCTTAAAGAAAGTGAAGATATTTAGGTCTGAAGTCAGATCAGACTATGTCAGCCAAGCAAGCCTTTCATTTTTCAGTATTTGCAGCGTCATTAATAAGTGTTCTGTATTACATCTGCAGTATATCCCTCCCTCAAAGCTGAGTGGCTTTGTTTTGCATGCAGTGAAGGTAGGAGCAGTTCTGGGAAGGATAGTAGGCACCGTCTTGTGCAAAACTGTAGCAGTTATGCTCCTGAGACTAGTAATGGATAACACAATTCCAAGTGTTAGAATTACTCTTAACACAGTGTGCAGCATACAAAGCAACACTTGAGTTACTGCTGTAGTGTATCTTTGCCCTGATGATATCATAGACAGCGAATTGATGCCAAAAGAAATAACCACTAATTTTCATTATATGCACACCCCCCCCTTTACTGTACAACAATGTAGAAACCCCATGACATTACCCCTAGTTAAAAGATTGCATGCAATGAGGCACTCTCTATGACATTATCTAGTATTATTACACTCTTCCATAATAGTTCTTTTTTTTCCATCTGTTAAAACTTACTCCTAAAGTTTAGGAGGTCTCTCCATTTAAAACTTCATCTGAGCCTTCCAGGTAGAATTCAAGCTGGACTGTCATGTACCTTACCCGTGTGCAGAATGAACCAAGAGTATTCCATTACTCAGGGTCATTCCAAAGGTAGCAGTGCTCCAGCTCACTAGCATTATTCACAAGATCCTCAGCTTCTGTTAACAGCCACCACTTCAAAAATGTTAGGTAACTACTTACTTGGGACAGAAAAGGAATTTACTGTTCGTTTAACCACCATGAAGATATTTTTGTCAATGTTTTAAATGCAGTGATAGTTTAACCAAAATTATTACTCTTGTAAATAACCTTGTAAAATACATGACAAAAATATTCTGATCTAAAATCAGATTTCCAGTTAAAGCCTTGCATTTTTGAGAAAAAGTGAAGTAAATTTGATGATAAATAAGCTGATAAAATTGGAGCAAATGGCAGGTAGACACTTTAAAAATTACTCGCCTCTAATCTGGCTTCCTTTTGTATCCTCTACGTATTACAAAGTGGGGAATGGAGTAGATGTTGCATTAAAGTTTCCAATGGCATAAACAAAAATGCTTTTGCTGCCCCCCAGTGCAGGATCTAGGTCCAGACCAGGGGTGGTTTGGCCCTTATTCATTAAAAAGGTAGACCTGCACCAGCAAAACTGGAGTCCAGAGAGTCAAATTAATTGCTTCAATTGCTGTACTTTCCTCCCATAAATCTAACCTCTACCCTGGCATGAGAAATCAGCATGGCTTTCTTGGAAAGGGGTGTTAAGAAATATATCTTGGCTATTTTGCTGCCCCAGGAGGCTGCTTGCTTTGTTTATACTTAAAAATTAAGCCCTAGTCCTTTCAGATACAGCACTGCGGGGCCCATGCCACTCTCTTCTCTCCTTTCACAGTGTTGCAGAAAATAAAAGCAGTAGGTTCTTCAATTACCGCAAGTATGTCACTTAAATTGCAGTGCCTCAGATGATTCCCCTCAACTGATCATTTTCCATTTATTATTTTTAACTTAAATAGGCTATAAGACATCACTCTCTGGTTTAACCCAAAAAAAAAAAAAATCAGAAGTTGATGTGCCACATGCGTTTTGGAAACAAAAAGTGAATGCACGGTTGCGGAACTCAAAAGAACCAACAGCAAATGAGCTTTAGTAAGTACTGACGTCAGTAGTACACAAGTGCAAGAACTACTTTGGCAAGTTACCTCAAGTAACTCTGTACCCAGACCAAGTTCTCAGGTTCTCAGAGCACCAAACTCCTAGCACAGCTAAAGCAGCATCCAGATCCCCAGACCAACAAACTTCCTCTTCTAAATGGTGGGTCCTATAGCTCCCGAAAGACTACAGACCTTGCTAAACAAGTCTAATTTACAACCAGACTTGAAAGGAGTCAGTGCCATCAGAAGTGGCAGTAAGGTCCTCAGTTCTAACCAGGCTGTCTGAATCCAGCAGGGAACAGCAGATACTGTGGACTCTGATTAAACAGTTGCCAAGCGCTCCTTGCGTTCTTAAGTTACCATGCTCTCTGGCACTACTTTCCTCACAACTATCTAGTAATTCATATTCCTTCAGAGCAAGAATGTTCACACTGTACTCAGTTGGATAAGATTGATATACTTGCCTCGTTGATAAAACTAGCACCACAGTGGCATTTTATCTGGTGAAATGCTTCTTTATCAATAGGCCAAAATTAGCATAAGCAGCCCTACATGCCAGGCTGGGTCTGCTCAACACAGTGTTGAGGCTCCAGCAAAAATAACTCTTGGAAAAACATCTGCCTGAACTGTTTTAGTGCAAAGGGGAAATCCCTGGTTCCAGGAGAACTGCACTTAATGCACCAACATTGGCAAACCAAAACAGTTGCACATGTGATGCAAGAGAGGCTAAAAGCCTCTGAGCAGCCTGTGTCAGGGCAGAGTGGTATTAAATCAGCACCTCTGACTTAAGATAACTGCTTGTCTTGCTACTAGCAAGTAATACACAAGTTCAAAGTTTTGCATGGTAAGAAAAAGTGAGAGAAACTTTTCTTCAGGAACTGATTAATGGGAATTGATAAGCTCACGGTATCTGAACGACAGCAAACTGAAACTAGAAAACTGAAACTAAAAAATCACTTTACTGCTGAAAACCAATGACCGTCTGTAATCACAAACATTACAAAAATCCTTTTTAGAAAGGGTATTACAGATTAATTTTACCTTGATATGTTCTGATAACAATGTGTGGATGCTTGTGCATCTGCAGTTAACAAGTAGTACATAAGTCACATGCACTTATGATAATAATTTTTTTTTCCAGCAGTCAACTACATAATCTGATTGCCTGCTAAGTACTTCCAGAAATTCTATCATTTTTTTCTCCTCTAACAAAACCATTTATCTTACAAAAGCATTTACATTCCTGATCAGGTCAATACATTAAAAAATAACACAATAACACCTGCAGAAAAACAGAAGGAAACAGAAAAAAAATCATACTGTAGCAATGAAAAAAATCACAAAAATTACTACTAGTTAAGAATATTTGATGATTCCCCATTATCAATAAGTGGCAGATGTAGGACTGGAAGCTCGAGACTCTGGAGCAGTTCCTTCAGCTTACGAGTAATAAGCAGGACAAATCAGAGGCTGTTTAGCGTTTCACAAGACCGCCGTGTAAGTCAGGCCTGCCGGAAGCCTGGTAACCACATTGTTCAGAGAGTGAACAGGAACTTCCTTTTTCTACCGTTTTCAGTTGGTGAAGTAGAAAGAAAAAAACAAAACAAAAAAAAACCCTGAGGTACAATGCTATATTGCTCAAAGGCCAATCGCTAGCCAAAGAAACAGTATTTTGACTCAAACCAGTACACGTGCAGGGAAAACGATCAAAAGCCATTTTGGACAAGACATCCTAAACGTGTGTGTGTGTTCCATGGTGCCCTCTCTCCTTCCCAGTTTCTGGAAGAGCACGTCTGTGAGGAACGAAACCTTGCGCCTGAATTTCCCCATCCTACATCAGCACCCTCAGACCGGGGACCAGCAGGAGGCCACGGTGCCTCGCGCGCCCTGCAGCGCTTCCTGGGGGAAGTTCAGCTGACGTGTCAGTTTGCAGCACCATCCTCAGAGAATCCATAGCCCGAGTGCTACAGAGGCATGGCCAGCTTAGCAAAAATATTATCTAACCAGCCATAGCAATCACCTCTTTGAACTAAGAGGGCCTTGTATTAGGCCTCTTTAAAATTCCTAGTTTGCCTGTCACATCTGGTTCCAAAGAACAGGTCACTTGTTTTGAAGAGATGTCAACTTGATAACTTAACTCCTGCACACTGGTAAAGATGGGGAATAATGACAGGGGATAGAAACTCAGTTATTGCAGAGGAACAGCTTACCCCGTAAGCCCTTCCTTTTCTTCATAGTGTTTTTGCTCCTCCATAGTACCCTATAACAGAAAGCCACTATTCATACAAGAGAAATGCTACCAAGAGGTAAATTAGCAGCGTATTAATAACATTTAGACCTAAACATTAATTTATAAATATAATTTATGTTAATTATAAATTAATAGCATTTATACCTAAAACTTTTTCAATTATGCACAAGGATAAGGAGTGGTGAGTCTCAGCTCGAATGCCCAAAGACGCCCACAGCTGGGCACAAAACAAGTTTGCCACAGTTCACTGAAGCCTAGTCCAGCCAGTTAATGAGAAAACTCCTGATTATGTTTTCTGAAAAGGGGGATCCCTCCATACCTCCCACCCTGTGCTGCCTCTACTACAGACATCCTTCATGGTCTCCTCTGTTCTGCAGAACAACAGCACAAACCAGGGAAGCAGAAAGTCAGCTCAGGTATTCATAGCCAAACCAATAGCAGTTCCCACTCAAATTCAGTACTTACCTCAGTGACTGCCGTGCAGGTGAGCGCCCAGACTACTTGGAGATTTTTACTAAACACTCGTATATGGCTGGAACTCAGCATTGTCCCTTTTCTTGATTCCAGTCCTACTTCTGATCCTTCTGCTTGGGCTCACACTTCCCTTCCCATAGCCTGAAAACCTTTACAGTTGTTCATTCACTGCTTCCTCTTCCCTCAACTTCCAATTGTTGCTTATGCTTAAGGTTGTCTGGATGTCTCACTGCTTTCCAATCTGCTGCCTGGCAGATGAAGAGCACCTAACGTACACAATGCATAACATTCTTATTAATATGCACAAACAAGAAAGAAGTGTATGTAGCAAACAAAAACTACCACTTTGCACGACGACATACATGACTGAATACAACAGTAACAACTTTCCAATTATTCAACAAGACATGGCAGAGCACAATAAAGTTCTTATAAATGGTGATTATAGAAGGAACAAACTTGCTTTAGTTATTGGAACTATTGATTATTTTCTTGCTATAAAGCAGGTTTTGAAGAACTTACACAGAACATAAATGAGCTCATAAGAGTAATCCTGCAGGTTTCAAACAGTTGTCTAAATATTTTGCAGAGCAACTTCTTTCAAGTTTGGAAAATGTAGAGCATCAAATCCCAAGAAGCCAGCTAGACCGAGCACATGTTTCAAAACAACAATGATCCTTAAACAGTAACACACACATCATCCATACTAGACTGGTGAAAATTGATATATCTATATCAAGAATCATCACAAAGAGATACGACAAACAGAAGCAGGTAACAGGAATCAAAAATGGAATATGAAAGGTGCATTGGACACAGTTAAGACATATATAATCCACACAAGTTAGAGTGAAGCTTCCGACATAAAATGCACTGTTTCACTGTTGCTGAAGGATGAGACTGAAAACAAGAGCAAAGTGTCAAAATTCAAGCTCATTCTCAATCAGGGTGCTTCTAACCGCTCTCCTGCTTTACTTTCTTTCCCTTGCATTACCTTTTTCAAAAGATGGCCATTATCCTTTTAACCTTTTTCAGGGACTCCAAAGGATTCCACTTCTTGTTCTCTCCTCCTCCTCCTTTATATCTCACCTGCTGATGAACCAGACTTGCCTATAAGTTTGATTTGTCAACCTGAAATTTAAAGTGCCTTGCTACATCCTTCTAAATAAATTCTCAATATATCTTTCTGACACCGCCCTTTGGGTGGCTTAGATATCAAATTAAATTCCACACGGCCAAAAGAGAATTTAAACTTTCCCCCTTGAGCTTTTATTTCTAGAGGATATCATTTCTTGCCATCACACCATGCAACTCCAATGTGACGCAACTGGAGAAGTGACATGGTTTGAAGACTGAACACTTTACCTACATAGCATTTGCAAGATCCATCCTTTCTCTTCCATACACAGAACTGATTCTTGCTCAGTTCATTGCTGTGTTCTGACTATAACTCCAAAAGTCTTGACATGTTTCATCTCAATTCACCAATTTCCTTCTAAAATAAAAACTGAAGATCACTTTTCCCTTTAGTAGGACATTTCCAATACTTGCCCATTTTTCCATTTCTCTCCATTTTCTTCCCCTCACCTTGATCACAAACACCTTTCCTTCACATACAAGGCCCTTTTCATTTAACATAAAAGGAAATAATCTAAAAGAGTTGAACTTGAAGTTATTGTCTTGGGATCAATGACAAGTAGATTGCTATGACCACTGTCTTACAATGTTTAACAATACATTTCTTTAAGGTCATGTTCATCTACATGATGCTGACATTTTAGGCAAACTTGGTCTTGAGGCCCTTCTATCTAAATACTACAGTAATACAAATAACACATAATAGGAAAATATTACATCTGACACGCATGGAAATGATTCGGAGTCACTGACCACATCAAGGCTGGATTATATACATTTACACAGACAAACATATCAAATAACCAAGTCATACTAATGAAAAAATCACTGAGTACAATAAAATTCGTGTTTGTCCTTTATACATTCCATTACTCCATACATTAAATTTCCCACAAACAAGAGAAAGGCATTGCAGGTGTGCTTTAATTACTGTCCTAGCTGTATCTACAGCAGCATCACTGCAGCATTTCTCAATACATGACCTTATAACAAAGTATCCCTCAAGCAGAGCTGGAATGCGAGCTAGTGCCTATGGGCAGAGCAAGCATCTCCAAAGTCATGAAGGGAAGCTACAGATAGAGGACCATATGGGAGGAAGCCACCAAGTATGTTTCACAACAGAGAATCAAAACTCATTCTCCTCTCTCAAAAAATACACACATTTAATGTTGGTCTTTTAATTCTAGAGAAAAAAAACAATTCCAAAAATACAAACTGAACATCAGAGTCAAGTCAACCACCATAATAAAATGAAAAAAAATGACATTCACAATAGTTAAGTCTATGGACAGCTTAAGTTTGACAAGCATTTTCTCCCCACACACCTCTAACATCCCCAAGTACATTCCAATATTTATCTTCAATTGGATTTTTACTGAAAATACTGCTGGTGTTCAGTTAGAATTAAAGGATTTGGATAAAGTGAAATAATAAAGACAGGTACAGATGGTGTGAGTAAGGTTACAAAGGCTTTACATTTTGCATTACCCCAAAATATAAACATTCAAAAATTAACACGAAGTTGCTGTTCAATCAAAATATTGCAGCTATAGGCAAGGCAACATTAAATTAATAGCTGAGGGTGTGAGGGAAAAAAATAGTGAAGGTAAACAGAAGTGGCAGTTCCTAATTAGCATTTTGATAAAGCTAATTTTATTACCTGGCCAGCCATAAACCAAGTACAGGACAAGTCCTCTGCTTCCTTTCGCTATAAGATGACACAAAACAAAATCCTTTTCAAGTTGTTCAAGATGAGCAGAAAGAGACAAATAATCAAGTAATAGAATAAATAAGTACTAACTCAGGCAGTACACTTTAAACCACTTTATCATTTATAAATGTTACATGATTTTATTTTGGCGGTAAACTGCAAGCATGTAAGAAAATTAACTTTATGCAGTAAATAACCACCAAAGTAAAAATATTCTTCTGTTTACTCTTTGGCTAAAACTCCTCAAAAGTAGCAGACAAAAAAAAAATTCTAATACTGGCAAAAAGTGGTAAAAGACTTTGACTTTTTTTGCACAAGTAAAATAAACTTATCAATTTTAAACTTGGTATATTTTATAAGAACAAAAGAGGTAATGTTGTAATAAAACCAGTAATGTTACTTCAAATGGCAACATACTGTTTGTTGACCCTGTGCAATAATACACTTTGTTCACACTACATTTATCAAAATATGACTGTTTCTATATGTATGACTCTTGTGTGTGACTCCTGTCAACTTAGTTTATAACTGGGAGACAAAAATTACAATCAATGTGCCACAATAAAAGTGTTATTTTAGTAGAGTTTATGTTCAGAACTTTCAAATTATTTTTTTAACAGTTAAATCACAAAGAAAATAATGGAATATATTACCTAGAGCACATGAATATCAACGACTGCACCCACTGCCAGAACACACTGCACTAGTTTGACACTTTTCCTTAGTATACAGAAAGCAACAGCACCCAATTAGCCTGAGAAGAAATGCTGCTGTGTAAATACTGGCAACTATTCCTGATAAAAGAATTATGGGATGTATACTCAAAAGCTGCCAAATCCCATAATTTGTATTGCATAGGTCACAATCACACATATATACACACGCACAAGTATGTGTGCGCATATATACATATGTATATACACACACATAGGCACACACGCACACACACAAAGAATATATTAAGAAGACAATGAAGTCTGGTCACAGAGCAATTTACAGGCTCAATATATTTTTTCTTTTTTTTTTCTTTTTTCTTTTTTTCTTTTTTTTTTTTTTACACTTTGCTTCAAAGAAAACTTCAGTATTTTACAGTCTTCAGTAGGCATTATATACACTGCACTTATGAAATCTAGAAAGTATTGAAATAGAAATACATTTCTGCAAACATTTGGGTAAGAAAACAAACCAAAATTTTTCAAAGATTTGTGCTATCTACATAGTATTTTTTCTAAATCACAATAACTGTATCCATGGAATGTTCTCTAGAAAACGTCTTTTTTTTTTTTTTTAAACACCATGCACATTTTTAAGCAATTGTAACCCAAAATATCCCAACCTAAAACAATCTAACAATGTTCAGATTAAAAAATTTAAGTTTCAGATCAGATTTTAAAAAGATAAGTCTTTATCACAAGAGTTGTAACGATACAATTACATGTTAAGGCTAAATTGGTTTTGTTTTGTTTTGAGAAACACATTAAAGACACACTTTGCTCGTGGCTCTGCATTATGAACTGTACTTACAGATGACAGTGCAGTGAACATAATGTTCAGTCCTACAGTCAGGATGCAGTTGCTCCTTCCCACTCCACAAGATACTGCACCTTTCCATCAAGTGTCACCCGACGAGCCAAAACACGGTATTTTTCACCACAAGCTATTCTACCTGCTGCACCAAAATAACTAGTAATTGAGTTCTTTAGATGATTGAGCTGTAATTCCTGATCAGCTAAATTGTTAAGAATCTCTGTATTGAGTTCATCATACTGATAATCTTCTTTGCTCTCATCATCTTTTACAATTTCTGAATTCTGAGTCTGGAGTGCTTTTCGTGGAAAGCGACCTCTTCTTCTCAAATGTGGTATTGCAGCAGGCCAAGTTCTTCCTGTACGAGTCCTTTTTCTCGAGTCTGATAAACTAAGAATAAAAGAGTATTAACTCCAAGACACTTATTCAAAATTTACATTTCAGCATCATTTATTTTCATACAGCTCAATCATGACTTTCTTCTGTTACATTTTTCATTGATACAAATGTTTATGTCCTTATACAAAAATTGAGCCATCTGTAATTGGCTCAATTATAAAAAGCTCCACTGTAAACAGTTTTGGAGAGTCGATGTTAGCAAAGACTGCAAATTAAAAGAAAAAAAACCTGCAATTACTTTGGAAGCTGAATTTTAGTCAGCAAAGTCTGAAATAAGAAGCACTGCAAAATCTGTCCTAGGTTTCTCTCTTAATATTCTTACACTTCTGACTTTCCAAAGATGTATTTCATGTTGCCAGAAAAATTGTCCATATACAAAATTGACAATTTCTATACAGTAATGAGAATAGTAGCTTATGATGTTATCCAAACACAAGTCAGCATCCAAACATTAAAAATGTCCAAATTTAATGTCTTGTATAATATCTACATCTTTAATAGGCATGTATTAAAATATATTTGATAAAGTCCTGAACTAAATGGCATGCTTACTTTGATCTTCCAGATACTTAAGCAACATACTGAGGGGTAAAAAAGGGCATCTGTTTAACATAAAAATGAATGAATAAACAGCAGGTATATAAAATTCTGACTTAATCCTAAGATAAAAATTTCAGAAATCTCCAATCAAAAAGAGTTTTTGCAAACATTATTTGTAGCAGTAATATATGCAAAAAAAATGACTTACAACAATACTTCATAGCATAAACCAGAGAGGAGACAAGGTTAGTAGATTGAGGAATATGTATCTCAATAAAAGAGTATGTTAAATGAACATAAGTATGTTCATCATACTGGAGAAAGTAGGAAAAAGTTCAAGTACCAGCTTATTTGCAGAAAAACAACTTGCAGTTAAAAATTTCTTTAGGAAGACTATGCCAAATTTTTTTCATGCTCTATTGACTGTAGAAAATTGAAAGTACTTAATATTCCTTAGCACAGATCCCAAAGCTACCAAAACAAAGAAGTTACAATTTGGGGTACAAATACATCACATCGTTTGTATCTTTCATTAGAATATTAAGCTTAGAAAGTGTTTGTATAGTTTAATTTCTTTACTCAAATGTAACTTAATTATGTATCAACATCAACAACAAAAAGCTAGCAACTGCAAAAAAGAAGTTTTAAGCAGAATTAATGAAGATTGGCTTTCTGCTGATTTGTCTTCTATTTCTTTAGATTCTCCCACCCAAGTTACAGCTCAACTCTGGAGTCTGAACTGTTTATTAGCACAGCTCCCAGTGAAATCCCACATCCCCAGTGCTACCCCACAGCAATATCCATAGTTTTTATCCATTTATTCTCTCATCAGTCCTCCAATAACTTTGCCTCTGTTCCACATGCACCATGGCTAAGTGGCAACTTAAGTCAACCTCCTCACCTTTCACCTGGGTTTCTTTCTTATCCAAGTACCAGTCTTCAGGAGGCCTGATAAACTACATCCTTTGAAACGAATTGTATCAAATTTGTTTGAAGTGTTTCAAAACTGACCGTGAAATTCAGGTGGCCAGCATGTGATATCAACAGCATAACCATGAAAATCTACTTTTTCAGGATTTATGAAATCAGGCTCAGACATCAGGTGTATGCTTTGGCAAGATCTCTCTCATAGGATTCTTATAACTTCTGCTTATTAAGGGCAAAGAACTGGTAAATCACTTGTTTACTGTTCCCTCATCATAAACAAATAAATAAAATACTAATAAAAAGCTTAATCATTATAGCATACAGAGTAATTGAACAGTTACCTATAATGTCTGGAAATGCTAGATGAGGTAGTTTCTTTCATACTGGCAGCACCTGTGGATTCCACATCTGAGGTATTGGATGAATGCGCAGTCCCATCAGATTTCCTGATATGCAAGGCAACAGAGTTGTCAGGTAATGAATGTAATTGAGCTGACATTTAATAAATAAAAGGGAGAAGCTATTCCAATAGGTTTACAGAAGTTTTTTTTTGTTTATTTACCCAACAGAACAAGGTAATTCCAAGGCTGGGTTGTCCATCACTGGAACTGGTTCATTATCCTAAGAAATAAAAGAATAGTAATAATAAAAAACACTTTAGATTTAAATTAACATTTTTTTTGAGAGAGTGTGTATATATATGTGTGTGTGTGTGTGTGTATACATATATACACACACTTTTTAGATTAAGAGTTTTTTTTTTCTTCAGAAATGATAATCCAGTTACAGGAAAAAGAAGAGAACATATCCAAAACCTTACCAGAGGAGTCGACTCTGGAGTTTTGTGAATCATTTTTCTTGTATAGGGACCAGGTGGACGACCTACTGATTTTTTTTTCCCCTTTCTTTCTATACCATTACTTAATTCCCTAGAAAAAAATTTATATTTTGTGCTGTATTATTAAAGATACTTGTCAATTAACATGCTTTCCTTAGGCAACGAATACATGCTTAGATGTTTATTTCTAACACATTGCACTAAATGAGGTTATTCTGGTAAACCCAAAATTTCATCTACAAAACTGCATTATTTTTGTCTCTGGAATTCTGAAATAATATAATAAACAGACATAAGATCTTTTCAGTGACATTACTGATTCCATAATGTTGAAGAGGAATGAACAAGTGCTTTACCTACAGGATCACACTTGCTAAAAAAGATGGCACATCTCTAATATGAGTTATAACTCTGTATTATACTTACTATTTAGAATCCTAGTTAAGATCACTTGCATAATAGGCCCAGAATGTGAAGGAATTTTGTTTCCCAACTGGAAGCAAAGTGGGATTTTTTTTTATTGTTCTTATTGATAAATCTCATGATTTTTCAGAAGGATCTTAAATATAATACTAATTAAATAAGTCCACACAATCTGTTTTCACAATCACCTTAAAATACAATATGAAACTAAGTTTACGTATTTAAAATACTCTTAAAGTGCATCTGGACATTATAATGAAAAGGCCTTTTTGTAGGCAAGAAAAACATACCTAAATTAACTCCAGTTTACCACAACATCACTAAAATAACTAAATTATTTTACCTCACATCAGGAATGGGTTTAGACGACTTTCTGCCTTTAATTTTGAACTCATGAGATGTTCCTTCAGGTTCTTTCTCAGCTTTTAAAGCAGCATTTGGTGGCACAGGAGGAACACGAATTCTCAAGCCAAATAAGTGTTTCTTTTTCTTTATTTCTTTTCCAGACATAAACCTGGATAAATTTAAATTATTTGTTATAATTCTGATCTCAGGGAAAGCATCTTTAAAAAGTGCAAAATGAAGCTATGCAAATGAAACCACTCTAATGCTATTTTTTTGGTCCTTTTTGCAGTCCTCACTCAAATACAGGATGCAGAATGGGAAGAGCATAAAAGTGAAGACAAAATTTTGCTCATGATCTGAGTTCCACTCTAACTCCGATAGCTATATGATGATATTCTGAAACAGAAATAGCATTTCTGTGTAAAAAGACACAATGTCATCTACAGACACAGTGGTTATTAGACAGACTGAATGAAGGAGACTGAAAACTAATCTACTATAGGCTAAAACAGAGAAAATAACATCTAGAGAAAAAAACACACACTACTCACATGGTCTTGTAATCATTTAATGCCTCCAGTACATGCTCATATCTTTCAGATTTTGGTGTATCTGCCAGCTGTGAAGTATGAAGAAGTAATTTAATCTATACTTTTTTTTCGTCAACAAAGAAGATCCTAAGTCACTAAAACTATAGATTTTGGTGTCAAATACATTTACAAAACGTTTATTGTGGAAATACTTGTTGAGCTTAGGAAAAGTGAAATTCTACCACTTACTCCTACCTCACATATAGCTAGAAAAGTTTTGCTTTTATTGCACCAAAACCACCTAAAAAAGAACTCAAATGGTCATTTTAATCCCTCTGTGATTAGTCTCTGCTTAATAAAGAAGTTAATCAAAATAGTAAAATGAACTTGCCCATTTTATTGAATATACATTTTTCCCCAATTTAATGAGAGAGGCTAAGAAATCCAGGCTTCAGAATGAAACAAGTTTCCTTCCGAGAGGAAGAAATACTGTCTAAGGAATTGGAATTGCCACTTGACAGACAAGTGACTTTTCATATTCCGGATCTCTCCTCTTCTTCCTCTCTCTTCCAGACCCAGAGCTGTGTGATTTTCAGGGATGGACTGAATTGAGGAGGGTGGGAAGAGCACACCAAGGTCCATCGCTCCATAACTTCTTCAAAATGCCATGTGTGCTCCAATTAAATGGCAGACAGCTAGCCCCACTTCCATCATCCACACCATGGCTTTTTTGTACCAACGTTTTTACAATAAATTTTGAATTTACAGAAAGTTAATTTGAAAAATTCATCTTTTCTGCATATCTCAATACTAAAAGAAATAGAAGTCAAAATTAAACAGCCTATAGGTATTTGTCAAACTGCACAGTAAACTACACAAAACATCTCATCCTGTTACCATATTTTGTGCAAGCTTTTCTTTAAAAGCTTCTAACTTGACACAAGAGAAATTAATAGACTTGGCTAAGATATCTCTAGTATATCTTATAGAAAGAAATCAGATGTCTCATTTATGACACTATATCATTTTACAATAAAGCTAGAATATCAATGTTTCTCTTTAAACAAAGTTCTGACTCTCATATTGTCTGAACACACACATTTTGAAGGATATTCCACTATTTATGAATGTAAGTAATAGGTATTACTAATCTAAATCAAGGAAACATATATTTGATGCTTATGTTGTGGTTGCTAGTAGAAATGGATTACAGATTTATGAATTTACTGAAAAGTACAGAAGGAGGACATACTTGTGACATGAAACTTTCAAAACAGTTAAATATCACCTGCATTAAAAAAAAAACTTGAAAAATCTAAGGCAATTTTACAAGAAAAAACTCTATGCACAGTATGCAATTTCAAACTTAGCCATAAATTTGGCATTGTATCCTACGTACAGAGATGAACAAAAAAGGCACTGTTCCTCTTGAACAAATATGAGGTCAATTTACTTGGGGAAATGGATTTCCTGTAATACTAACATTAACTGCACAGTAAATCTAATAACTAGAAAAGTAACTAGCACAGCAGTGAACTAAGAACGAGATGCCCTCATGAGCAGTAGAATCAGACTGGAAAAGGAACAAAATCTTTAGACCAGTAGTCAAACAGATCAGGTCCCCTGTTAGGGAGGACCCTCAAAGGGAGAAAAGGGGAAATCTGTGTGCAATGATTTGTCAAGTATTACATCTAGAGAGTTGGAAAATCCCTTCGTACTCTCTATATTCAGGTCTACATTCAAGTTTTCTGATACACGCAGGTGAAAACACCCAAAATCTATGTGATATGACAACTATAAAATGAAAACAAAGGTGTTTGTGTGTGTATATTTTTCTGTTGTATATATTCTATAGTGTGTGTGTATATATATATTCTATACACACACACACATATATGCAACAATAAATAGAAGAGTCTAGCATAAATGAAATTACTATGTTAGAAATAGCTACCTGCATCAGTTCAGAAATTTTACAGCTCAGAACGGTACACCGTTCCAAATCACTCTGTTTCTATAAGGAGACTATTCTATATAGAGATGCCTTCTTCACTCAGATCTAACAGATTTTAGAGCAATAATGAATTTAACTGTCTACCCAAAATTGTTCATGGGGCTCACATCCTCCACTAATTTGCAGGACATATTCAATGTTAGGACAAACAAACAACAAAAAAGAGTATTTCAACTACTTACCTCACCAGGATGCAATCTATCCCAGTTTTCATTAATGTATGCCATGAGTTCAAGTTCTGAATCAAAGTATTTCTTCTTATGAATAACACTTAGGTTGTAAAGGCATAGATGTGCTATATCTACCCTAAAGTCAGAAATATTTGAATTAAAAAACAGAAAAAAAATCTTGAATTTCGCACAACTTTTTTTTTCTTTTTTAAATAGTTTAGTATTAAAGATACCAGTACAATTCAGCTGGAGGAACACAGAGCACTACTTGAAATACTCTCTAATCAAGAAACAAAATGATTTTTTTTATCGCTTTTTCCTCTTTAAGTGAGTCCTCCTGTTTTAAAGCTTCTTATTTCTGCCTCTCCTTGTCATGATGTTTAGGCTCCCAAATTGATTAAACTGGAGCGTATTTAATTGATTCAGAATTGATACATGAATGTATCAATTATGAATTCGTACAAATACTTTGGTAAATTAACCTTTAATGATGTAGTTTGCATTTTTCTAAAACAATCATATCCATTTAATTGCATATTATTTCTAATAACAGCTACAGTTAAAAGACTTCAAGCTACAACTAAACATTAAATCTCATCCACAATACTACAAAATGTGTAAGATATTTCCTCTTGTACTCACTACATTCAGCTTATCTAATAGTGCTACTCTAAATCTGCAAAAAAAGACTTTGTTGAGATATCTCATTTTTCTTATACACAAGTCAGTAATTGCTTGCAACTTAATCCCAGGAGTAAATCCCCAAAGCATACAGTTGTAATACAGCTGTGTATTTAAAGATATATTTAAGGGAAGTGTCCCTGTTCATAAAAGTAGCAAGAGCAACTCAAAAGATCAAGAGAAGAAGTGAATTTCCTTATTTACAAGGAGAGTTAAAGTATTCAAAAGAGAAAGAACAGGTAATTCAACTAACCCTTTTCTTCATTTTTATTTAAATAATACTTACCATCTCAAGGGTAAACGTTTGAGGTATTCTGGTCCAGAACTGCAAACTGAGCAAATGAACGTATAAAACCTAAAAATACATACATATGTTTATATATATATGTGGGTGGGTGACTGTCTGTATATATAAACAAAGCTAAAGCTTTAACACACCATGTATTATGAGTTACCACCTCACCACTCAGACAGGACACTTCATTTTTTTCTCAAGGGCAAATTGTGGAAAAAAAAATTAAATAAAAAAGAAGTGTGCTGGAGCCCCAGCTATGTGATGTTTGAGATGCCGAGTCCTCCATCTCTTTTGACTCACTTCCATAATTTATGCTGACATCTACCTGGCCCATTGAATATCCCTACTTTCTATACTCCATTTGGCAGGTCTTCCCTCTCATCTTCCCAAGATGGGCTTCTCCCTAGTAACACTATTCTACACTCCTAAGCAAGTCCCTTGGTGTGTGAACATACTGTTGGAGATGCTCCCTAATGTCCCCACTCTGTTCTCACAAATGCAGGTACCTGTGCACAGGTGCAAGCATGCACTTAAAGGGACATTTCCTAGGTCAATTCCTTTAAACATTCTAGAACAACAACAAACACCGAGATAAATGAATGAGATGCTCCTTGATTCTTCTCACCTCACCTGCTTCTCCCCCACCTGCTTTTAACTGCTTCAGTTCCCCTTAAAATGAAATGGCACACCAGTGTCCTCGCTCATCTCCTTTACTTTCCTCTTAGCCCACATGATCAGAAGATTTGCAAAGTTCTCAGCACTCCAAGTGTTCTCCAGCTTTTCCTATTCCCCAAACCAACAGTTTTAAGTGATCAGCAAAAAAGCTGGGGAGAGACAGCACAGCTGGATGAGGATAAGCATATAGGAGAGCAAGAAGAGATGGAAAAAGCAGGGAAATAAAGCCAGAAAAACATATTTTCTATGCTACTCCACTAACAGTGAATTCCAAACTGCTGCTAAATAAACCTCCACTGCACACACACCCCAACACTGTGCCTTAAAGCGTGGTGCCTGTTGCACAGGGCATGTTAGACACCTACACAGTTAGAGCTTGTAGTCCCTATCCAGCTTACAGGCCCAATCAAGCATCTGCTTTAAAGCTTCCAGTCTCTCAGGAGCTAAGTACCTAGAGTATAATGGACTTCCATGAAAGTGGAGCTAATAACAGTTTGAATTCAGCTATTCATCAGTTACTTCTTTCTATCACCGTTTTATTTCTCTTTATATCTTAGAGATGACAAACTGTGTTTTCCTGACAGCTAAACACACGCTTCATTTTGTACAATCTTCTACACAAAATGCATTTCAATGTTTTGGAAAAACTGTCATAATATGGATGTTTAAAAAAGCTCACATATGAAATATACCCTCTGCACTTTAAATAAAGACACCATGAAGTATAGTTAAGTTTCTTACCTGTCACCAAAGAGCATTGGCTTTTGGAGGCACTGCACACAAGCCTCATGAAACCACTGCTTACATTTGCAGCACTGCAGCATCTTTAGATACCAGCTTAATCAACATAAAGAAAAACAAGGTGTGTTAAAACAAGCTACCAAAAATGGTACATGAAGTAGTAAGGAACCTTCTAACTAAGATGACTTTCATAGTGTAAAAAGTACAATCACCCCTAGGGATATATCAATAGGAGTTAATTCTATAATGAAAAGTGTCTAGGAAAACTGTCTAGGAGAGGCCTTGAGTAATAAGAGGCAGTCTAATAAAAGGATGAATTAAGGTGTCAAATAAATAATAGATGAATTTTCTCTGAAAATTACTTTCCAATTATCCTTAAGAAATCAAGAACTCCATTTGACCCCACCCAACACACCAGATTAGCTTCCCTGTTATCTTCCAAAGCAAGGCACAATAGCATTAAGACAGAAACATTTGTCCTGAGGCTTCAGATATTTCAATAACCAAGCTAAACACAGTTTAGGCTTTCCTTTTTTTTTTTCCAGCTTCTCCCTGGAGAAAAATAACCAGACAAAATAGAAAGTGATGTCTGTCCAAGTCTTTAAAATTCTCAAATCGGAGCTCTGTATTTGAGTAAAAAAAAAATTTAAAGATTTACTTCCTTATGAGACTTTTGACAATATCGCCTTGAGACGTTCAATGTTACTTTCATAAAATAATAAACGAGTGTTCTGCCAAAAAAAAAAAAAAAGAAAAAAAGGGAAGAGAGGACTCATTTTTACTTGAGAATAGAAAGCCTTCTTTACACAGTAAGTGAAAAACAGGGCATGACACTACTGTAAAATCAGACAGGATCATATATAGCATACTACACTACAAATATTGTATGTGGTATTACTGATGTAAGGAATTAATAATATATTTATTATCAGGAGCAAAGGATAGTGTAGCATTTATGCAAATAGCCTTATTAAGTTGACTTAAATCAAAAAGATCTAATGAGGAAGTAACGACACCTAGGAGAAGACGATAACAGAATACTAATTTCTTTTACAGCGTGTCAGCATTAACATGTTCAAACCAAATTTATCTGGAGTGTTTTATATGTTCATTTCTCACAATCTGAAGGACTTAAAAAAACATGTAATTGTTTATTAAACAATTCTGATCTCTAGACAGTATTTATATTTGTGCTGAACAACCAAGAGTTATATTAATATCACCAAGGTCTCTTTCCATTGACCCAGAGTAGCCATCACCACTACACACTCTGGAATGATAATGCATCTTTCAAAAGTAACTATTTTGCATTAAGCATTCAATATATGCAAAATGGTCTTAAATTTATTTAATAAAAAAATAAAATAAAAAAATAAACTGTCTTTAATTGCAAAGAGGTCAGCAGCAACCTTTATCCAGCCTCAAGCACAGAACATGGACAATGGAACAAAATTATGTTACTGTAGAAGAGACTTTAATGGGATGTGAAATAAAGCTATTAATTATGCGTTTCCCATGAGATATCTTAAAAAAGGGTAAGATATTAATTTCAAAATTCCACTACTCATCAAATTTAATACCTACGCATAGCAGAAAGAACTTCAGTTCACAAGTAAAAGTCTATGGAATCAGGGCCAAAGTTTGCAGCTGTTTTATGGAGAAAAGTTCTTAGAGAATATCCATTTACTTACTCTCCAGGTCCTCCACAATAGCAGTAACACTGCTGGACATTGGTTTTATGACCTGCATCCCACTCAAGGTCTGTTGCGTTATATGGTAATGTTTGTTTCATGACTTGCAGTGCTTTGGCATTTGGTCCTTTCTTAAGCGCACCACCTCTCTGGGACAAAATAAGCACATATATTTATAGAGATAGTAATATGTTTCTGATAAAAATTTCCTAATTTTCAAATTAAAGTATGTAAAACACTTTTACCTGTATTTATGCTTTAATATTCTAACCCATTTCCTTAAAACTAAATTGAAAGCAACTTTTGAATATTTCTTAAACAAAAAGTTAATTCCAACATATAAAACTAGTATACAAATCACAGTTAAAGGAGGAAAAATTTCTGAAACAGGCTAGCTTTATTATTTTTCAGTTTCAATTTCAGAAAAAAAATATGAACAATAATGTTTTTCTAGAAACATACCTTTGTTGTTGTTGCAAAAACGCACTGTCGACAGAGCCATTTATCATCTGAATCAATCACACTGGAATCAATATTTGGTGTGTGACACAGCTGATGATAACCTGTATTAGAAATAATCAATTTAAGTGTTATTATAATAGCAATATATGCATACGCATATTATATTAATGGAACTAGAGTACATTATCTTTCATTAGCTAGCAGAAAGATCAATTCAAAATGGTCTTTCAAAATTTCTTAATGGAAAAAATAGAACTTTATTTATAAAATAGATGTTGTTCACTTAAAAATTGATTATCATTATTTACCGAGCAGTTAACAGCCTCTAAGGGCTATACAGTTTAAGAGTATCTGAACAGCCAGTCAGTTATAACCAGGTAAATATCCCCCGTCATAAAACAAAGCATCTCTTAAAGTGCAGTAAATAGAAAGAAAAAAAGGCTAATTACCTTGACCACATTTATCACATATAACCATTTCATTTGGTGCTTCTGAATACTCTTCCTGACATATTGTACAGACCATTTCCCCACTCTCAGTGGCTCCTAGACAAAGGTGAAAATACATTTTTTTTTAGACTACATCTGTAGTTGGAACAACCACCATGTGCACAGCTTTTTATTGCAAGTTGCATTGCAGAAATATATTGCTACAGAGCTTAACTTCAAAAAAAATAAGCTCAGACATTTTGTACTGACTTTATTTCTACAAGTTTTTACAACATTTATCATAAGTATAGGTTATTTATAAGCTATATATTGCCTATTCACTACGCTGTCAATGCAATCCTTAATAATAATAAACAACTGAACAAATATAAATGCAGAATCAAAGAATACACATCTATTCCCATTTGGACAACTGAGAGATTATTATTAATAGTAGTTTGAATCTTTTTCATATAAATATTACATGCATGATTTGGTGCATATCTTTAAGAAACAGAACAGCCCAAGGCACTTTCAATTCTATTATTAAACTCTAATACTCCTAAGATAATTAAAAAAACTAAGAAATAGTATTCTATATATCTGCAAATACGCAAAAGCAAACAAAAAAAGGCAGAGCCAAGAAATAATGTTAAATTACTGGTTGGGAAAGAAAAATCTTGTTCCAGTTGTGCAGCAAATCGGTGTAAAAGTCTGGATAAAATACAAATTATTTATCTAGGTATTATACTGATGCACTAATACTTAGCTGTTACTAAAAACAAATCAAAGATTGTAAACAAATGCTATTCAGAAATAGAACCAATAGCAGCATTTTAAAAACTTCTTGGAAAGCAGCATGTTTTCGCTATAAACAAAAAGCTCGTCTTATTGGCAGATAAAGTGTCTACCCTAAACAGCAAGAAGCAGAGACAGATCAGCTTTTCATTGCTTCTATGTGATAAAGAAATCCTAACTTATTCTCAGATACAGTCACTACAATTTCCATCCATCAAAACTACGGTATCAAAACACTTTCTATTCCTCAAGTATTTAAAAAATAAATGTTAATGTACAACAGTATCGCACTTAATTGAGCTTCTCTTTATAATACATGAACGCTCCAAAATCTGTAACAGATTCTTATGTAAAAGAGCTACGGTGTTACATTTAAATGTGAAAATTCCCTTCAAATTTGGTATTTTCCAGTCTTTTTTTCCATCCAAATATAAATACTGTTTAAAAGTACTCTCTTCCCTGCACATAGCTGGGGGAGAGGAGGGCGAGTGAAGGAAGAGAGAGGGGGAAAAAAATAATATCAAGGATAAAAAATTGTTTGAAGGTGATTTTTTTTTAATCTAGTTGACAATGCCAAATCACAATAAATGACACTAATCTTCTGTATTCAAGTGTATATAATGTAACAATTTATTTTAACAAGTATAATAATCTAAACAAAATACCAAACAATGACTACTTGACTGAAGTTCTTGCCTGTTTGTATGTCCTTCCAGAGAACCCAGGATTTGGAACTGTCTTCAAATATAATAAAGCAGTTCTGTTTCAGTTTGTTTATCTGGGAAAAAAAAAACGCAGTGAAAGCCATGTATAGAAGGGCTAAAACAAACAATGCATTTAGTACTAAATAAGTGACACAACACTATTGTCATATTTAATCAACATATGATAGCATAACACTGGAGTCAAGTTAAAAAAATTACCTTTTTGATAGTTCCAAGATAAAACAAGCCATCTGACCATCTAGCTAGGACATCCTGACCTTCTTCAAATTTACACAGTGGCTTTTTAGGTTTCTGTCCATCACGCACAGACAGCTTGGTCAAGGATGCTGAGGTCTTCTGGCTTCGACGTAGAGGAGACCGCTTATGGACCAGTGAATTACCCACTCCTGTAGAGTCTCTGAAAGAAGGAAAGCAAGAAAAAGAAAGGTAGATGAAATTAAGGTAAAATAAGAAACCACATATAGTCAGTATTAGTGCAATTTACAACTACCAGTCACTTGACTAACACCAGAACTTTAGGTAACCTGGTCATGCTTTAAAATGCTATACAGCTTTAATATAAGTGCCCCTGCAACTATGAACATGTACAGATTTGACAGAGACAGGTTTATATAGAAAAAAACCCTTCCATGACACCAAGAAATATAAATGGAAGACAGGCAGCAGATAAACATTCCAGCTCATAATCTCTCCATTACATCATCAGATGCAGGAAAGGAGGTATCAATAACATCCAACACAGGATCACCTACGTAAAATAACAGTCAAAGGAGTTCAAAGGGTGAGCTGGCAGACTTCTGAAATTGCGAGGAAACTACTAAACTACTTCTGACCCTAATGCTTTGCTAGTAACAGCAGTATCAATGTGTTTTGTTGCATAGTTAGCTGCTCAAAATTAAAAAAAAAAACAAACAAACAAACAAAAAACCACACACACACTCTGAGGTGAAGGTAGAACTTAGTCCAGGCCTAGCATTGTGCTCAAATCAAGGTCTATATTAAGGTGCTCCTGCATGACATTACACCACATAAACAAAGCTGCAGAGATTTCCAGCAAAGAATGAATTTCTTCTACGTGTTGAAATTTTAATAGAATTTTCTTCTCCCTTAGAATCAGAAGAAAACATTAAGGGATGAAAATAAAGATATCTTTCAGCCTTTCTTCAGCCAAGAAATTCAAAATTACAAATAACTTGACCAATAACCAGCATCTTCTAGCGCATTATTGCGACATACAGCCTCACTACAGAATCGTTAAGGTTGGAAAGAAACTCTAGAGATCATCTAGTCCAATCTCCCTGCAGATGCAGGGTCACCTAGAGCTGGTGGCACAGGGTGGCCCCCAGGTCTGGAATATCTTCAGAGAAGGAGATTCTACAACCTCTCTTAGCAACCTGTTCCAGTGCTCTGTCACCTTCACTGTCAAGAAATTTTTCCTTAAGTTTCTGTGGAATTTTTGATGCTTCTGGTAGGGGCTGTCTCCTCTAGTCCTATCTGTGGCCACCACTGAAAAGTCATCCACCACATCCCTCTTGTACCGAGGAGCCCAGAACTGGACACAGTCTCCAGATGTGGCCTCATCAGGGCTGAACAGAAGAGCATGATCACCTCTCTCGTCCTGCTGGAGATACTTTTTAATGCACCCCAGAATCCCAGTGGCCTTCTTGCCCACGAGGGCACTGCTGCCTCGCGGTTAACTTGTCCTCCACCGTGACAGCCAGGTCGATCTGCACAGAGCTGCTCTCCAGAAGGTCAGTCCCCAGACTGCACTGCTGTCTGGGGTTATTCCTCCTCAGGACACGACCTTGCACTTGTCCTTGTTGAGCTTCATGAGGTTTCTCACCACCCAGTTGTGCAGTTTTGTCCAGGAATTATAATGGCTTAAGTCATCAAAAACAAGCAAGAATGCAAAAGGTTATCTCCTAGAGACAAACCAATGTTTTGGAGTTTTTGTATGTTTGTTTTTGTATCAAAAAAAGTACAACAAGGCCAGCAGTTTCAGATCTGTTTGCCATCACGTTGTGGCAGACAGAAGCAACGTCCTTGCTTCCAGTGTCCAAACATGCATCTTCAAGGCAATATTCTTCTGGAAGTACTTGCTTTGCTGAACCTGTGAAGTGGCACAATTCATGTAGGAAAGATGAAGTAGCCTCACAGCTGGCATTTATTTCCTTTCTGCACTACTGTTTTCCACCTTCTCCCTTCACAGCTCAGTCATGGCTTTGAGATACGCCCCCCACCACCGCTGCGACCACCACTTTCAAAGTAAAAATAAATACATAAAATAATAAAAAAATTACTCCCAATCTGTTGCTTTGCCTAAAGTTCATTAATATTGCTGCTATTTTTCCCCAATTCTTCCTTATCCTTGATAAATGGGCCAGGATAGACACAGCATTCAGTGCACAAACTTACAGTATGTTAATAACACAACAGCAGAGCTCATTTTTCTCTCTACTCCTTTCCTACCAGCAACTCACATAGCTTGAGCATAAATAGGCATTAAGTTTAAAATGCCAAACAATGATTGGAAGCCCTGGATTCTTATTTTAAGTGCTGGCAGTCAGCTCATAGGCTATTGTTTCTCTTTTCACTAGGTATTAGTTCTTTATGCACTAGATTTCATTTATTCTTTCATTATTCAGTCACACAGCAGCTTGAAGCACTTCCACAGTCTTTGGCCCTCTCCAAGATTCTGAATAAGCTCAGACCCTTAGAAAATTCTGTTCATTTAAAATAACTACTTTTTACACATCACTGCAAGACTTTTTGCCTTATATTGCATGGCCGCTTAATTTTTAAGAAGCAAGACAACAATAGCCCTTGGCATTTGTTACCGCTACATTCCACTCTCTCCTTTGTATCTATGCTGCAATTTATATACCCAAACACCCAAAAAGTTTTCTGACAGATTTGCTTCTGAGCCTATGTCAGTGAAGAGGAAAAAAAAAAAAAAAAAAGAATATTCATCAGTTCCTAAAGCCTTTCTGACTATACAGTTATCTAAGACAGCATAAAAGTGGAATAAGGACAGCTCAAAGCAGTCCAAAAATATTTGCTAAGGTATATCCTCACTCCTGCTAACAAGTCTTTGCTTGGGAAGGACACACCATTAAGATATATTAAAAAATGTATGTGCTTCAAATTACCTCTATGAGCCTAAGTTAATGTATTAAACAAGTCAATAGATTCTGGTGTGCATACCTTATAGCATCTGAAGCACAGTCACTAGGGCTAATGGACCTCAACACAGCTTAAGGAATGTTTCTATAGCTTTACAGAAGAATTTTTAAAACTCAGTTTAATTTAAAAGAAGAACTAATTCCAGAGCAAAAGTATCTGAAAAAAGCTTTACCACTATTTTCATCACGATGTGGAAAAAGTATGAGAAATCTTGCACATAGTAAGCACAAATACAGAAATCATTTATTAGACATCAGCTAGTAAAGATTAAATCCCTTTAAATCAACAAGCAAGGATTTTGATGAATTTTACATATAAGGAGAGTACCAGATGCTTTTGAAGATTTTTTTGACTATAATATCTGGTCTCAGAACTGCATTGAAAGTATACTATTAAAGTACCACTTTGGGGATCATTTTCTGTCATAAAGCATTTAAATATGGTGTTCTACATATTGACTTACATAACAGAGTAAATTCACTATATCTGAAGTAGTTATTGTGAAGATCTGCACCCATAAAGTATATTACTTCAGTTGCCCACATTGTTCTTTCAATGGAAGATACTATTGCCAAAGTAATGACTGAATAGTTCATGAAGCAGCTCTTGATTATAATAGGCAGATTTGTAGCTAGCTTGCAAATACATGTAGATGATATAGTGCTAAAATCTACATCACCTCTTTAACCCACAGGACTAAGCAATACATGTCCTAGAGAATGCACAGCGGTGTGTATTAGGCAGGGAGGGCTTTTTTGTTCAATACAGGGCATATTGTGTCCATATTCTTATTTAGCACTCATGCAGAAATACCCAAAATGAGGACTTCAATACATAGGAGGTCTTCCCAGAAGTTCTCCAGCAAATGACAAAAATCCATGCAGCTGTTGAAGCATGATTCAAAACAGGGAGCGCACTTTCGCCAGTCCCCGAGAAGGTGATTTCATTTAGCATGAGAATACTCACTCACTCAAGCAGCCCTGGGTCAGGCTTGTAACCACAGATATTCAGTCTTCTATTCATCTACTTAATCGACTACTTTAAAACATCATGCTGCGGTCTCAAAAGATATCCTCTCTGAGGACAAGCTACCCAAAATTGTCAGCAGCAAGCTATCAGTCTACAATTAGTAAACCAGGACAAACTATTATTCATGGCATTCTATTTGCTCAAGTCAGCAAAGTTAAATTTCTGTGTTAAAAGCTGATCTGTCCCTTTGAATGAAGGGTAGATCATCTAAGTGCTCATGCAGTGCCTCCAACTCCCATTTCTCCAATAACGAAATATGAGAGGGAAGAGAAGTGATGCAAGGAGGGCAGAAGATGGAAGACTGAGCAGTCTCCCCCTTGTCTCCACGCACCTTTTTTCCCCCCTCAGCAGCAGTGCCATGTTGGCCCTTTCCATACTTCTGTGTTCCTCCAGCTGTAACAACTGCCCCAAGACACTCCTGGTGAGGAATAATCTCCCTCTGCAAAATTATTCTTTCATGCCGCGCAGTTCACTGATCTGTTACACAGAATGGTTTGTCAGCACAATAGAGCAAATGTAAACAAGCAGCTCGAGAAAAGAATCCCTTTAGCTGGCACTGACAAAGTGCACTGTGGAGCTACAGACCACTTCGTTTATAAGCCATGCAATTTTAAGTTGTGACTGATTCACGAATACTGTTAACAGTAATAGATTACATCTACCATATGTATTTGGAAGCCGGGGGGGAAAAAAAACACACAGTGAAAATGCCCAAAGAATATTAAGAGCAAATTTTAATCCATGGAGACAGTGACTCATACAAGTTAGATATACAGATATTTATTCCCAGTATATAGGAATCTCACTGAAGGGAAGCTTGGTAGAGCACAGCAGGTTTAACAGAAGGAAGTTCAGACCAGAAGTCTGCAAAACCAAACCCCATGCCATGCTCCCAAGGGAGCTGCCAGCCGTTAACAGCTGCAGAGGGCTGAGTCCCAAACACATTTTCTTCCCACCTTTCTTGCATCATCTCTGCCATTTTATCAGATCTCTTGCTGAACCATATTTGCTCGCTGCGTCTACAACATGCCTTTCCTCCCACCCCCAAAAAGAAAGATTCAAACAGGACAAAAGGAAGTGCGCCTTGTTTGGGTACCCGCTGCACTGCCAGACTGCGCTCGAGTGGTAGGGGTAGTGGGAGAAGTTTTGTCTTTATATCCATTAAAACATCTTTTACTTCAGCTTCTCTGTTGTCTTGTGTCCTGCCCTACATCCCTGAAGAGCCTGTTTCTGTCTTTATCATCTCCTCAGAGGAGCTGGCTATGTCTCCACAAAGCCTTCTCCCCTTCAGAGGGAAGGGGGCCACTTCCCTGAACTCCTTCTCACAGGACAAGTGCTCCAGTCCCAGAACATCTCAGTGAGCACACTCTGGTTCACTGATGTTTAAAGCCCTGTTTCAGGTCTCCCACTAGAAGACAGACGTGGTCTGAGGAGGACTGAGTAGAAGGTGCATCCATCAGTCTAATGGCTCTTGTTATTAATATGGTCTAGCCACCTTGGCTGCCTTGTCTGCCAAGACACACTGCTGGCTCATGTTCAGTTTGTTTTCTTCCACATCCCAGGGAGCTTTTCCTGAAGAGCTAACACCCCCTTCCCAACTAGGCTCAGACAAGATTTCTTCCTTTCCAAGTGCAGAAGTTTGTATTTGCCCCTGTTGAATTCCATGAGGTTCCTGTCAACCTTTTCTCTTCAGCCTTGCTCACTAGCTTTGATCAGTTTGGTCATGCTGGATTTCCCCTTGATAAATCCATGCTGGCGCTTACTGGTCACCACCATCTCCACGTGTTCAGAAGTGTCTTCCAAGAGAACTCCTTCCATGATTATGCTGGGGGTCAATGAGCCTGCAGCTCCCTCTGTGGATCTTTCAGCCTGTTTTGAAGATAGCGCAACATTCCCCATTGTCCAGTCTTCAAGGATCATCCCTGTTCTCCACGACCTAAGATAAAGAGCAGTCCCGCAAGGATATTGGACAGTTATCTCAGCACTCTCAAAAGCAGCCTGAGAGATCTCGCAGGCTTACAAGCATGTGAGCTTGACCCATTGAGATGTGCAGCAAGCCAATTCACCTGCTACTCAAGAAAGTAGTGTTTATCAAATTCATCATGGATAATGTCTAGAATATAATTTCAAGTATGAAAAAACAGAAACTTTGTCCTGCTGATCATTTCAGGATAGCAATTCCATATAGAGACTGCTCGTTGTTAGCAAGACAAGTTTCAACTTGTTTACTTCTCAACACTACCCAGTTGAAAACTATTCATCATTGATCAGAAGTGATTGTCAGGTGATACATAATCCTAAAATGACTTTTAAGAGTAAAAAAAAAACACACACACACCCCTTGGCAACCATTTTTGCTTCAAATTCTTCCTGTCTGGTTAAATAGGTGGAAGAATTCTAGTAATTAAAAAATATCTTTTCTATGCTATCAAAAATACATCTACCAAGTGACCTGGCAAGTATAGTAAGTTCTGCTTTAATGTGGTTGCAAGAAATAGAAGAGTCCCCACAGCCCATTCAGCTGCATAGCAGTCAGGCCTACAAACTTCTCTGTACTAGAAATTTTAGCCAGCAGTCTGATAGAAGTGATTATCCCCTTCTACTCAGGCCACATCTTTCCTCTGTTGGGAGATCCTAGACAGGACACAACATTCTAGACATCAGTGAACTGAGGTGCAGTCAGTGAAAAGTCACCAAGATGTTCTGGGACTGGAGCACTTGCCCTAAGAAAAGGGCCTGTGGAAATTGGCCCCACTCCCTCTGAAGGGGAGAGGGCTTTGTGGAGACCTAGCCCACTCCTCTGAGGAGATGATAAAGAAACAGGCTCTTCCCTGGTGTAGTGCAGGATGACGCTAGACAAGACAGATAAACTGAAATAAGAGATGTTCCAATGGATATAAAGACAAAGCTCTCCTACCTTGCCCCACCATGTGCACAGTGCGGTGGTACAATGGGTACCCTGGCAAGCTGCACAGCATCCATCCTTCAAGGATTTTGAGAGCCAACTGGATGTCCTGTGCTGGGTGGGATGGAGACCTTGTGAGATCCTTCATAACCTGAATTACACTTTCATCCTATGAATTAGGACCATTATGACCTTTTAATAGGATTGATTCACCCTACTAAAAAGAATGTACTTTTCCTCATGGCTCCCTAGCTTCATTTAATAATACTACCACCATTTGATTTCAGCCAATTCTCCCATTATTTCCTTGGGGGAAGTAGGGGGGGGGGAAGGTGCTTCAATTTATTTGATGCTCAAATAGAAAGAATCACTTTAATAGATGAACAGATCCTACAGGGAAATGCATTGTCCTATGTATTGGAGCACACAGGGAAAGAGGGCAGAGTAGCACTGTATTGTTATAGCCATTTGTAGAATGACTTGGAATTGATCCTGTGTTTCTACACAAAGAGGAGGAAGTAGGCAGTCGCAAAGGGAGACTAAGAGCATGAAATCAGAATGCAACACCTTGTTTTGATCAGATCTTCCCTTAAATGTATACTTGCATCCACTTTAACCCACCTACTGCCTTGTAGGTTTCTCCAGTTCCCAACACAGCAGGCCCCGAAATTTACCTAAAGGAGCAAAGCGTGCACAGGACAAATGCATCAAACAGTAAGAGAGTTCGCAGAGCGCATTTGGACAGGGTGCATTGGGGCGAGGGATAAAATTTCATAGGCAGACAAAAATAAACAGAATACATTTCCCCCTCCTTGATGAACATTTTACAAGAGCAGCAATCTCTACAAACATCCAAACACAATAAATTTAAAATAAAATTGTTATAGTCTTCTGAGATACTTCTCAGTGAATGAAGTACGCTCAGACTCAACAAGAATACTGTCATCATGAACTCTCCTTCTCAAAGGAAGGAGAAAAAAACAAAGGTCAAAACTTTTCAATTTCCCTCCTTAGAGTTCTCACCTTCTAGGAAAAGACTGTCAGCTTGGAATATAGATCCTTCACCATGTTAATTCAAGTGGTTTCAAAACTTTCAGTCACAGGTATCACCCTGCCCAGCAACCCATGAGCACTACCTGTGGTTTTACAATTCTTTCCTGGCTTGTTTTATTCAAAGACACACTTCCCCTCCATTTCCTGCAAGGAAGGCCTGTAAAGAAGATGAAACCAACTTGGCAGCAAGCTCAGAGGTCAGTCATGAAAGAAACACTGGCAATTTATGGGCTATGAGAAAAGAAAAATTCATATTGGCTTTCAGTTACAGGTGTTTCTTCCCTCCAAGCTTTCTCTACCACCACTAACAAGGGGAATGCAAAAATATTAAGGCCCCTTAAATTGCTGTAAAGCATTACCTTCATTCATATCTACCTCCAGGTTATACAGAAGGCCACCCTTTACTAGCACATTTTTAACAAATGAGCACATTTTTAACAAATGAACCACCACTTATTTGTTACAACTGTAGTCATACACTCTACTCGATTTCCTAATGCAGGGAAGGATCAACATCAAGACTTGCCTCATAGTTATATTAACTAGGAGGTCAACATCAAACTATTAAAGAAACTCAGGGCTAAAATCAGAAAACAACCATATTAACCCACCTTCTCAGGCACAACTGACACAATTTAGTAGCCTTCACAGAAATTACTTGTTAAAAAGTCACATATCTGTATTTGGCAAAAACAGACTTAACTGAAAAATATTACTACCTTATAGTCTTAAGCATAGGGCCAATCTCACTACCTGGAAACTCTTCAGAAAGATCCTACCAACTCTCACTACTTGACCATATCCCTTTGTTTGCCCCTTCCTCTGTTTTCTCCGAAAGACTTGAATGTTAATGTATACTCTGCTACTGACAACCTCAATTGTTTTTACAGTCAACCATAATTGGAACTCTCTAAAGAGGAACAAACATCAGCTTGATTTTGTGTGTGTGTGTATATATATATATATATAAATAAAATCAGGTGAGTAAAAAAAGAGACTATTCTTTCACTATTCTGTGGTTGACAGTTTGGACAGTAGGTGTCCAGTAGGTGCACAACATGACCTACACAGTAGTTTTAAAAGTCACGTTATTACCTATTACTATGTATATTACCTTTTAAAGTCATCAAGAGGACCAAACCACCAGAAACTCAGGGAAGCAGCGCAGCGTTGCACTGCTCCCAGGCAGACCCCTTGAAGGGCACCCAAGCCCACCTGAGGCGGGCGACAACCCCCAACACCCCCACCCCAGGTAACCCTGCCCAGTCTCACACAGCAGCACGTTGTCCCCGTCGAGTAACAAAAGTACTGACACCACCTTCCTACAAAACTCGAGCACCGAAGGGAAGAAAAAACCTACAGCACATCCTTCCTGCCAGCAACAGTTCCCACTTTTCGGTGGGCTAAAGAGGGAGTTTTAAGCACACTCGAGTGTGCCCTAGCTTAAGCGGACTAGAACGAGAAAGATCACAGTAAAAAACACATAACCCCCCACAGCAGAGTTCCGAGCGGCTGCGGCCGCCCTCTTTGTGCGGCTCTCGCCCTCCTCGAGCAGGCGCAGCCCGGAGCGGGGCGCAGCGACGGCGCCGCCGGGCCGCCCTCGCGGCTGCCGCGGGCCGCTCCCCTGCCCGCGCCCTTTGTTTTGGTGCC